TTTTTTTTTTTTTTTTTTCTATTCTTGTTACCGAAAAAATCGTAACGCGAATCTAACGAAAAATCGTCGTCCCAGCTAATTTCCTTGCGTAATTTCGCATAGATTAGCGTTTCTTTTGTTTTTTCATAAAAAAGAAATGGCGCTTTTAATGGCAAACTTAAATGATACTTTTAAATCGGCAAACAAAAAGTGCATACTTTTGTATCTAACGATACAAAATCTAATCTAACTATTATGCCATTAATGTTGAGAGATAAGATGTCAAAAAAAAAAAAAAAAAAAAAAAAAAATCCGCAAGTTCAATACTCGATAAAAAGAGAAAAAAAAAAGGCTAAAGAAACGTCGTACAGAAAGTTTATTATTCAAAAGGAATCGATTCGAATACCAAGATGATCGTATAATATGAAGTAGTTCGTGTGAAACTTTCCAAGATAGTTAGATTTTTTTCTTCTTTCTTTTTCTCTTGCTTTTTTCTTTTTTTTTTTTTTTTTTTTCTTTTTCCTTATTCTTATTCTTCGGCGTTGAAAGAGAAAGTTCGAATGTATTTCAAATAATGCACATTAACATTTACCGTAGAACGAAGCAAAATAAAAGAAGAAAAAAAAAATATTACTAAATATACTTCTATATCGTTTCAAATTCATTTAGATTTTCTTAAATCACGAAGACGAGCTATCGAAAATATTTGCATACCGGTATATATTATACGTAAACATAAATTTACATGTATATATAACATGTATATATATATATATATATATATATATATATATATACACAGAACCATATATATACCCATCTACGTATATCGCAGAAAATGGAAGTCGCGACGTCTCGACGCTCGGCGTCGTCGGGAACAACAAGTAGTAAGTTCGTGTATCGCGTCAATATATACATACACAGGCGCGCGCACGCGCGCACGTGCATGTGCGCGCGTGCGCGCACAAGCACACACACACACACACACACATGTTCTCTTATACATAAATAGACACACACATAATATATAGAAACGCATATACATATCCGGCTGGCTCTCGTCTGAAAACGCATCGCGTTACGCGTTGTAACGCGCTCGAACGTAACGCGCGCGCATAAAGAGGCGCCTTTCGCAATGCCTCGCCTCATCGTCGATCCTTCCTACGGTTTCACTTTGATGCCGAGCAGATAAAACTGTGTCGGAAGGTTACGTGACTCCATCTAAACATTCTTCGTTCAATCTCAAAGCAACCGTCTTAATACCGAACGAATGCGTATTAACCCTTTTCAACTGTGCTTATATATTCGTAAGCGAATGAGCATACCATACATATATATATATGTATGTATGCATATATATATATATATATATACATATATATATATATGTATACACATGCATAATATGTTCGCGTGTCACGTAAAAGGAACGAATCTATTAGACTAGAACGTTCATTAGATTACATTTTTCCTTCTATCCGATTGACCCAATCTACTTCCTGTTATCTGAGTAACAGCTTTTGATAAATTAATCTAACAAAACAAAACAAAAAAGAAAAAAAAAAAGAAAAGAAAAACGAAAAAAACATACAAACAAACAAACAAGCAAACGAAAAAAGAAAAGAAATTATTTCCTTATTTACAGTGGAATCGTTAGAATTAAATTAGAGCTTTAAGACAGGTTCTGATAATCGAGTAATAAACGGAGTCTCTACATTGACCTGAGTATTCCTTGTGTGACATCACATTTTCAGGCCGTCAAAAAGAAAACAAGAAACAAAAGAGGAAAAAAGGAAAAGAATTAAAAAAGAAAAAAACAGGAATTAAAGAAAAAAGAAAAAGAAAAAAAGAAAGAAATAAAGAAAAAGAAACGAAAATTTACGGACTCACCTAGATAACGTGCCCTTGAGCAAAGGATTCCTGTCGTCATAATATCCGCCGGACGAAGTCATCTTCAAGTAATCCAAGGAACGGGCACGTGGCACTCGACACTGACACTACGGCACTGCATCACTGTGTCGCGTGATCCGTTAGCCTAGCTTTCCATTCACCGCAGCAGCAGCAGCAACAGAAACGACGGCGACGACGACGACGACGACGGCGACGACGACGACGACGGCGACGACGGCGACGACGACGACGACGACGACGACGACGGCGACGACGACGACGACGACGACGACGACGACGGCGACGACGGCGACGACGACGGCGACGACGACGACGGCGACGGCGATAACGAAGACAACAACAACGACGACGACGACGACAACAACGATGACAATGACGACAACGACGACGAGGACGACGTTCGAGCGTATGCACGACGACGATACATCGTCGTCAAATTAATCGTGACGGCGTACGTCAAAAGACGACGCTTCGTCCTCTTCGTCCTCGTGAGGATTCTTCCGAGAGATCTACGATGGAAAAAAAATGATCCTTCTTTCTTCTTTCTTTCTTTCTTTCTTTCCTTCCTTCCTTCCTTTCTTCCTTCCTTCCTTCCTTTCTTCTTTTCTTCCTCTCGTTTCTTCCTTTTATAATTTTATCTTCTTTAACTCGCTCTATCTGCTTGTTTGCTGTTTGACACGATGAAGATTGTTTCTCTCTCTCTCTCTTACTCTCTCTCTCTCTCTCTCTCTCTCTCTCTCTTTCTCTTACATATGTCACATATATCGATGATCCTTTTTATCGTCGAAATTGTTATCGCGGAATGTCATAAAAAAATAAAGAGTAAAAGGAAAAGAAAAATAAAAGAAGAAAAACTTTCGTCTTTGCTCGTTAGAGTAAGCACGCACACTGAGCTCAATGTAGTCGTCACTCGAGAGTGCGACTTTCGGCGAGCGAGGACGATCGTTCTTACTCTTTCTCTCCTACCACAAGGTCCGTTCTAGATGCTCGATCACTTTCACGATTCTAAAGCCAAATTATTTTCTTCTTTTCTGGAACGAGGTAATCACCGGATTGCCGCTTCGTAGATCCCAATACTCGTTCGTGGTGGCACGGTTCTCGCTCCGCAGACGTTACAGGCCTGCATGATGATGATACGCTTGGATTATTTGATTATCTATCTATCTACCTACCTAGCTAGCTAGCTACCTTACCTATCTACCTATCTATTTATCCATCCATCTATCTACCTATCTATTTATCTATCTCTTTGAATCATTCTTGCGCGTCACGGAGTTCATTGAACGTGCTATATGTTTTCTAAAAATGAGTGGAAAATGGTTCGTTGAATTAGAAGGTGACAGTCAGTTTCGATCCAAACCCGAATGAAAAATAATCGAGCAGTTTGTAAATTGGACTTTTTTTTTTTTTTTTTTTTTTTTTTTTTTTTTTTTTTTTTTTTTTTTTTTTTTTTGCGCCGACCACGTATGCGAAGATTCATTACCCGGGAAAATTTAAATTTTAATCCTCGAAGACTTAAATATACACAACGCGTAATAAATCGATCTCCAATCAAAAATATATAAATTCCTATAATTAACGCTTTACATACTGAATAATAATAATAACAATAATAATAATAATAATAATAATAATAATAATAATAATAATAATAATAATAAACTTTTAATTATGCATTTGTATTTCTTATTACTTTTTATATCGTCGTAATTAACTCAACTTTTTTATAATGACATTTAAGGACATTCAACTCGGACGAAGTTATTACGACCAAATCGTAAAACCAAGAAAACTTGAAAACATTCGAGGTCGTAATTACGAAACAATATTTTCTTGACGTTCGAACCAACTATCGAATAATTTAATTGTTCAATAGTTGGCAGCTAGAAGTGTTGGACGGTCGTTTCAATACTTCCAATAGTAATAATTCGAAGAATTTCAACGAAGAACGTCAAACCAACATAAAGAAATAAAAGAAATAAATAAATGAAAATAAAAAGAATAAGACAACCAGAAAGCCTACCTCTATAATTTATTATACAAATGCGCATAAGGAATATTATCAGTTAGATGCGCGCGAAATCGTCCGTTACAACGGTATGTCGTAAGCCGTAATTATTCCTTTCTCCTGGGTTCCAAGACTCGTCTATGCACTTTCACCGCTTCTTCTATCTCCCTGAATCGGATAACTGGACTTTGAGGATGCGCCTTATTCTTAATCATTAATTTTTCGTAAAAATCCCGGAACAATCCGTTTCAAAATTTCAACAACGACCGATCAACACGAAAATTAAAATAATATATTATCCCTTAATGACAGCTATAACCATTACTCGTACACATATCACTAAGTGAAATAAATATGTTTCATTTCGTTATGAAACATAATGAAAGAGATGAAAAAAAATACATACACACATACATACATATATATATATATATATATATATTCGACTGTAATTAACAAACGTGCAATTAGAAAGGGAAGAAAATTGAAAAAAAAAAAAAGATTCATTTTATTCCTATAGGCCAAGAAGAAAGCGCCATTATACTACGAAGTGACTATTAACGTACGAGTTGATCGACAAAATCGAAAGTATTGGACTGGAGACTATCGAAGGGAAACAAATACACACGCACATACACACACACACACACAGAAACGTATACTCTTTCTCTCTATTTCCATCTCTCTTTCTCTCTCTCTCTTATTCCCTCTCCCTCTCTCTCTCTCTCTCTCTCTCTCTCTCTCTCTCTCTCTCTCTCTCTCTCTCTCTTTCTCTCTTTCTCTCTCTTTCTCTCTCTCTCCCTTTCTCGCACACTGTCTCTTTTTACTAGTCGCTGACATTTTCGATAGAATATACTTTCGGAGTTCGCCGTAAAGCATCCCATGATCAAATCCCGATTTATAAGGTATCCTAAAGTATAGATCTTGATAAAAAGATGTTGGACGTTTTCAAGAAAATCGAAAGTCATCCAGGCGACGTAGACATTTACGATAGAGGTTACTACCTTCCGGATTTTATTTTGCACGTAGGAGATTCCGGCGCAGCACGAAAGCACTTCGGTCGAATGCTCGGTTGAAGCAGAGCGCAAGAGTCGGCCGAGTAAAAGCGTTACGCGATTCAAGGACGTCGTACGCCGAGCCTGACACGGCGATTGTATCTCGAGGAGGCAAAGCTTGAGGATCGCTCGTGTCTACTATCTATTTCTCTTTCTTTCTCTTTTCGGAACAATGGGGGTTAAAAAAAAAACGAAATTATAATAATAATAATAATAATAATAATAATAATAATAATAATAATAATAATAATAAAATGAAAAGGGAAGAATAAAGAAAAAAAGAAGAACGACGAAGACTACGTCTATTCGAACTATTGAGAGAATCAACAATTCTACGATAATTCTCTTTTTCTTTCTATCTTTATCTTTATCTTTATCTCTATCTCTCGTCCTCTTGTTTTCTTTATCTTTTCGCTTCTTTTTATTTGAATTGCTTCGCGTCGTCTTCCTTTTCCCCCGGAAGAAAATCGCTGACAGACAAAGCCAATTGTCGAATGAACGCCAACCAGCGGAGAACTACTATTGACGATACGTTCGATTAATCGATTTATCGATCGACCGACCGACCGACCGACCGACCGACAAACCGATCCAGAGAAGCTCGTATACCTCTCGATTATACCGGATGTTTACTTTGCTTTTAAAAAAATACTTCGGAAGCGAAGAATCAAATAATGATTTGCCTTGATCCTCTTACCCTTGTCGCTTTTATATAAGGTCAACGTCTTCCTTGGTATTTAGAACGATCGCGAAGCAAAAATGGGTAAAAAGAGACGGAGAAAGAAAGGAAAAAAAAGAAAAGGAAAGAACGAAAAAAAAAAAAAAAGCAGTCTAGCAGTTCGCCGAATGCTACACTTGATGAAACAAAACGGAAAGATTATTATTATTATTATTATTATTATTATTATTATTATTATTATTATTATTATTATTATTATTATTATTATTATTATTATTATTATTATTATTATTATTATTATTATTATTATTATTATTATTATTATTATTATTATTATTATTATTATGATGACAATGATGATGATGATGATGACGCTATGATGATGACGACGTGCATAAAAATCGTAAAATCTTTTTTCGATGCCAAAGCTAATCAACATTAATATCGTACGTGTTAACTCGGAATTTTTAATTACTACGCCAATGCACGTTCTAACTTAATCTATATCAAAGATGGAGAGTGGGGGGGCGGAGGAATAAAAGAAAAAGGAACAGAGACAAAGAGAGAGAAAGAGAGAGAGAGAAAGAGAAAGAGAAAGTTTGTTGGAAGAAAACATTTCGAAGCAACAGGGTTGATAATCGTTAAAAATGATTCATGAAAAGAGAGAGAGAGAGAGAGAGAGAGAGAGAGAGAGAGAGAGAGAGAAGAGAGAGAGAGAGAGAGAGAGAGAGAGAGAGAGAGAGATGAAGCTTCATGGAAGAAAACATTTCAAGAGCAAAAGGACGGAGAATCATTAAAAAATGATTCAAGAACAAGAGAGAGAGAGAGAGAAAGACACTTACATGGCGCCGTCAGAAAATAACGAGATATATATACAAATATATATATATAAAAAGAGAAAGAGAAAGAGAGAGAGAGAGAATAAGAGAAAAACACAACAGAGTAGACGATATACGACAAATAAGTTAATTTTAACGTAAGGATTACGCTTCTCGAAAATAAGCCAATCCGCGTTAACCGGTTCGATTCCCCACTAAAGAGACTCGCGAACGAAATCCGTCCACGGCGCGTTACCAACGCCGTACCTTTCCCCTTTCCCTCCCAGGCCATTCTCCAGGCCCCTCGCGGACTTCCCCCCTTTTCTTACCTCCCACCCCCACCCCCGCTACCACCATCGTCATCATCGGAGAGCAAGGCGGCGCGATACGTGCGCCTACTCACACGCAACCGCTTGTGCGTAATATATACATATATATATATATATACATATACATAGATATATATATACATATGTCGTACGGCGTACTATCTATATTTGTGTATATATATATATATATATATATATATATATATGATGTATGTTTTTGTGTACGACGTATGCGCGCGCGTATTCGTATCTATGATGTATGGTGTGTATGTGTGTTTTGAGAGCGCGCGACTTACTCGGATCGAACTTCGTGGAGGAAGAGGAGGAGGAGGAGGAGGAGGAGGAGGAGGAGGAGGAGGAGGAGGAGGAGGAGGAGGAGGAGGAGGAGGGACGAAACACGCTCGAGATCTTTTCGAGCTTCTTCGTAAAAGAGACAGATAGCAAACCTCTTTCCCCTACGATTCCTCATCCACCACCGCCATTACCATTACCACCACTACCACCTTCTTCTTCTTCTCCTCCTCCTTCTTCTTCTTCCCCTCCTACTTTGCGGCTCCACGCGCGTTTATTTACACGCGCGAGCACGTACACCGAACGTGCGAGCGAGAGAGAGAGAGATAGAGAGAGAGAGAGAGAGAGAGAGAGAGAGAGAAAGAGAAAGAGAAAGAGAGAAAGAAAAAGAGAGAGATAAAGAGAAAGAGAAAAAAAAGAGAGGTAGAGAGAGAGAGACAGAGAGAGAGAGAGAGAGCGCGAAAAAGGAAGAGAGTAGGGATAACGCGCGTCGCGAGCTATTTTTCAAAGGCATGACATGACGACGACGCGTCGTTACACACGGGACGATCGGCCTCGAAGACGACCGAAGTAGTCGTCGTAAGGTGGCGCGCGCTCGCGATTCACCGGATTTCTCGCTACTAAGCGACTTCATCTCTCTTTCTCTTTCTCTCTCACTGTCTCATTCTTTCTCTCTCTCTCTTCTCTCTCTCCCTCTTTCACTCTTTGCATGGGTATATGTTGGGTCCGTGCGCAAGCGTGTGTGTGATTCTCTCTCTTTTATTTTTTCTTTCTTTCTCTCTCTCTCTCTCTCGTTGTCGTGCGTGAGAGAAAAAAATGCGTTACGTTTGTGTAGTTGTCGATCTACCGAGCGAGAACGATTTAGTTTTCCACGAATTCCTTTCTGTTCTCTTTACTTTCTTACACGCGTGTCCTCCGATTATATGCTACGTAAAATTTTTTTTTTCTTGTTTACAACTTCTAAACTTCTTCTCATTGCTTTTTTTCTTGTTTCTTTTCGTTCCGTTTTTTATTTTTACTTTTCCCTTCTCTCTCTCTCCTCTCTCTCTCTCTCTTTCTCTCTCTCTCTCTCTCTCTGTCTTTTTTTTTGTTCGTTGTTTTATACAAAACAATGTTAAATGTTAAAGGAATACATTATTACGTTAGGGATCGAATTTCGTTACTTGTTGAAATAATAATAAACATGGCGGACGTATCGAATGGAAATTATTTGCTTATGACGATTGGTTTGTTTAAAGCGTATACTGTTTGATCGACGAGCTTAGAAATAGAAAGAGATAAGAAAAATCCTCGAACCTGAAACAGTGGCACATCTTGCGCGTTCTGTTCCCCCCTCACCCCTCCGCCACATCACATTCTCTCTCTCCTCTCTCTCTCTCTCTCTCTCTCTGAGTATATGTACGTATTTCTTCATTAATTAATCCGTATAACTTGGAACAATCGAAAGTCAAGTTCTCTTATCGTCTGTCGAGTACGTAGAGGTAGAGGTAGAGAGAGGTAGAGAGAGGTAGAGAGAGAGAGAGAGAGAGAGAGAGAGAGAGAGAGAGAGAGAGAGAGAGAGAGAGAGAGAGAGAGAGAGAGAGAGAGAAATGGAAAAAAATAAAAAAGGAAAAAACAAAAACATTTCGTAGTGATATTCGCGTAATGATTTCGTTTAAATGCAACGTCTCGATCGATAATAGGTCGAAGGTGATCGACGGATTATCTCGTGGGTCGTCGATTCGTCGTTGAGAATCGGCCTGACCATTTCTATCCTAAGCATACGTGTTATCAAACTTTCAAATGACAATTAGGGAATATCTGTCGACATCTTTTTATCCCTCCTCCCTTTATCCGCGCTTTTTCAAATTACTGTCCGTCACGAATAGAAAGTACCATAAATCTATATATATATATATATATATATATATTAAAAGACGGAGACAGAGATAGATAGAGAAGAATAAAAAAAAAAAAGAATAGATAACGCAAAATCGTGTTTTTTATGAAATAAAGAAAAACTGTCGTAGTTTGTATCAAAAAGAATATCGCTTGGTTTCTTGCCCGATGTTTTAACCAATTAGTGTTAATGGAACCTATTAAATTTTACTAATTATCGATCTCTCGTATCGTTATATGTTATAATGTGTCGCACCATTTGTTTATCCCTAAATATGTTCTTTACGTACAAATCGTAAAGGCTTCTTTTCACGAATTAAGCAGTAGGAAACCTTACCTCTAATCATCCATCCATCGTCACGTGGTGGTTCATCGAAGTATAAACGACGACACGCGCTTCTCGATCCAATTCTAAGTCTATCACCGATTTGAGGTTAGAACGGAACTAGAGGCTATCAGTGCGCGTGATTATTAGCCGATATATTTAAAATATATGATCGTAACCGAAGAGGGAAAAGAAGAAACATATACACACCTACAATTACACACACACACACGCACAGAGACTACGTACACACACAAGCACAGCATGCACGCATACACAAGAGAGAGATATATATATATGTACACACACACACACACACCACAACCAGAGAGACGATGATAAACCAAAGAAGAGAGACACAAGTAAACATACATGTGTGTACTCGACTCGATCTGCTGCGTCCTCGTTTAAACGGCCGAAGTACATACGTCCACTTTGACAGAGCGCGCTGAGCACAGATATTACAGCCTCGAAAGAAGACAATCGACTATCGAGCGGGAAATCGACGTCAACGCCATCATCCAACTTCGCATCGATAAAGTATTTAAGACATTTATCTCTCTCTCTCTCTCTCTCTCTCTCTCTCTTTTTCTCTCCCCTCTGTCTGTTTTCTTTATCATTTCTTTTTTGAATTACTATTAGAAATTTCATCGCTCGCAAAGTACATTAGTTTAAAATAATATTCAACCTCTGTTAGGCTGCCCTGAAAACCTCTATGCGTTGCTAAGCAAGCAGGGATGTGTATAGTTAACGATATCTTGCTTTCTAAAAAGACATCGATGCGCACGAACGACGCGGCAACGGGTTAGGATCGAATTGGAAAGAGATACTACGACGTCATTGGGTATACAGAATGAGAATGAGAAAGAGAGACAGAGAAAGAGAGGGAAGGGGGGAGGAAGGAAGGAAAGGAAGATGTGGGAGAGGGAATAGAAAACGGATAAACAAGAGACGTATGTAACACAAGTAGAGGGATAATATCAATGTCGAATTCACGAACTATTACGAAGTTCTAAAATGTTATTTTCGATCGAATTTATGGTAATGAAAAATAAATAGGATATTCGTTGTCTTACTTATATCCTCGATTCGCCGATATTGAAGCGTCGCGACGGCGATGCAAATGATCGTCGTTCGACGTCTTTCGAGAAAATCTGCTGGACCACGATGTTGTTGTTGTATTCATCTGTCTCTTTACACAAATCCTGATATTCGTACCTAGTTTCTCTTTTATATATATATATATGTATATATATATGTATATATATATATACTATGTAATGGTTTATAATATTTACTATCACTATTATTCGTGTCTATATGTGTGTATATATATATATACACAATATATATATATGTATATATGCGATATATACATATGCGGTCGCGTGTAAACGTACAATAAAGACGGCGCGTGGACGGTCGCGGCTGAACTGATCGTGGGGGCCGAGCCACAGGTGTCATCGCTCGGCAGCACTCCCCACCCCACCCCGCAATCGCGAGCAGCACCGTATGTTCGCGAGCCTATCTTTATCTCCCTCTTTTTCTCTCTCTCTCTCTCTCTCACCTTTCTCCCTCTCTCTCTTTCTCTCTCTTTCTCATTCGCTCACACCGCGCGCGTGCTCCTTCCTACGCTACGTTTAACGAACGCGTGCGCACGCCATTCTTTCCGCGAAATTTGAACGGTACGTAAATCAACTGTTCTTTTTCATTTTCTTCTTCGTTCTTCTTCGCTCTTCTTCTACTTTCTTCCTTCGATAATAAACGTATATTTATTTTTTTCATACTTCACATGCTCTCTCTCTCTATATATATATATATATATATATATATATATATATATGTAGTAACCTATATTTCAAAAGAATTGCTACGACCTAAATACGCGTGTAAATAAATAAAATTGAAAGAAAAAGCATAACGGTAACGTTGATTACCTGTAAATATTCAATGCCTAAGATCGTTAATTCAAATAGATATTTATTCAAAAACCAGTGTATTTCGTGATAAAACATATAATGCCTGTGTTATTACGGCATAACGCACGTGACTCATCATCGTGCACTCTCATTCATCCGATCGCACACACGCCAAATTTCTTTTCCTTCGTTCCTTCTTCTTCATTTCCTTGTGGATTTATTTCTTTAATCCTTTACTAACTATATGTATATGTATGTGTATGTGTATGTGTGTGTATATGTGTGTATCTGTGTGTGCTGTGTGTATGTATATATATATATATATATTTAGTTATTTATATTTATATATATATATATATATATTTATAACTTTTTTTTTTTGCCGCCATACCTATCCATAGAATATATTTTATAATTTCTATCTCCACCATTTCATTATCTTCTTTTTACGCTTACAATCTTTCATTGTAACGTTTATAATTGTATGAAGCTGTATCTAATGTATATCTAATTACATATACAATATGTGATATGGCGCGCAGCCACCGATAGCTATACGCTATGCAATTTCCCACGCACCGAAAACAAAAAAATTTCTTTCTCCTAAACAGATAAAATGTCACGAGCTTTACTATCTTTTATTCTTCTTTTTCTTTACTTTTTCTTCTTTCGAAAAAAGTAACGCTGACGAGAGAATTCCATACGTACGAACTTTACGAATATTCTATTCACTCGCATTCCTCTTCTAAATATTTTTCAATTATCAGATTATATTTAAGATACAAATTGTCGAAAGTCTATAAAACGAACAGAGAATATCGTCGAATAATTATCTTTACTGTCGCTTTTTTTTTTTTTTGAATTTTATATACTGAAAAATAAAAGCTCAAAATATTCGACCTTTTTTTTTTTTTTTTTTTTTTCCATACTTCATTACTATCGTTATAATCATTAACGAAAGATTATTTTCAATCAATATAGATGCTTTTGTAAATAATGTCTTTATGTGTTCTTTTACGTTTTGTTTGCTTTTTTTTCTTTCTTTTTTTCTTTTTTTTTTTTTCTTTTTCTTATTTATAAAAACCGTCGTAGATCGTTGTTCCCGCGATATCGAAAATCTGACTCCAATATTCGAGAGGAGACAGACAACGACTCGGTCAAAATAAAGCTTTACAGTGGATAGAGTTAAGATATATTTAATAATACAATAATATTGATAAAACTTTCAAAATAAGTAAGAGACATCTCTTAAAAAAAAAAAAAAAAAAAAAAAAAAAAAAAAGAAAAAAAAAAAAGAAAAAAAAAGAAAAAGAGAAGAAAAAGAGAAGAAAAAGAGAAGAAAAAAAAAAAAGAATAGGAAACGTGCGCTGCTCGATTCTTCTTTCGTACGGTGGCTTAACACGCACACGTGACAGACACACATCTCCAAATTAAAAATCTTTTACGAGTAATAGAATTCATTCTTTCATTGATATAATCTTCTTCTTTTTTTCTTCTTCATCCTTTTTTTTTTTTCTTCTTTTTCTTACACGTCTTCTATATATGTCTATATAAAGGATGACACTTAAGACGCATTAGCGCTGTCGATCGTTGATGCTCTCGAAACGCGCAAGCGAACTTTCAGAATTATTGAACGCCTTTACTAAGGAATTTTTTGCGTCGTGTAGCAACGTAAGGCACATTTTCGACGCGTCCCGAGTTTCCTCTTCGATTCGACGTTCTTTAATACATTATAGCGACGGGACGCAACTCGAGAGAAATAACCATCGACTCGCGTCTTGCATCGCAAACATTTCTTGAAAGAACGAATTTCTACTAATCGCGTTAAGAAAAATGTCACGTAACTACTATCTAACGATAGTACACATGGTACAGGTATACATACAACATACATACACACACACATATATATATATATATATTGTATATACATATACATATATACATACATACATACATATATATATATATATACATATATATATATGTATGTATCACACGCACATTTTCCCTCCTTATCCTTCGATAATTGCACCTTCCTCTATGTATTAAGAGTACAACAAATTGTGACATTACAATATGTGTATATGTATATATGTATATATGCACGCTTACGTATACATATGTATAGATTAAATTTCGATCACGAGGATAGGAGTAAATCCATTGTTTATCATTTTTCTCGTCGTGTGTATCTTCTCGATGGCCCACTCGTCAATAATATCTTTTTACTGTGTGAAACTTACTGGTCCGATCTTTCGTAAAACGTCGATACGTGTTCCAACGATAAATGCGTTATCATTTTCCTCGAACAATAGTATACATGTAAGCATATATACTTGACATCGTGTGTGCTTGCTTGTTACGTGCGTGCGTGCTTGGTTGGTTCTCTCTCTCTCTCTCTCTCCATTTTTCTGGCTCTTTGTTTCCCTCTCTTTTGCTCGTGTTTGGTTCTTTCTCTCTTTTCATCTCTATTATATGACAACGTCGATTTTCGCGACAAATCGACGCACTTAACTAATCTTTTCTCTTAGCGCTGGGGAAACAACGTTAGGTATTGCAATAAATATGATCTTAGCAAAAGCCCCGACGACGTTGTTCTCCATTAGAACCTGGCCCTGATGTAAACAGCCGAGGCGTCGTGTTCCCCATAACCGAGACGTTTTGCATGCTTGTAAACTTCATTCGCCGCTGCAGCAAGGGGCAGAGGTTGTTCGAGCTGATCGCTCATTCCTAACGATAATCTAAGATCTTTCTGCATGTGCTGAAGCGGTAGTTGTGTCGGGAAACCACCCTCGATGATCGCTAAAATCAATGAACGAGACGTTAATCGTTGTTATCATAAATCTGTTATATAATTTTAGTCGTATAAAAAGAAAAAAAAAAAAAGAAAAAATTTGATTTGAGATATGCTCAATATCTTTTACTTTAATCCCTTACCCTTTCCTTTGTCAAGAATCGCCGGACAAGCTAGGGAGGTTAACTCTAAAACCTCAAGAACGTCCTTCTGTTGAAGTCCCGCTCGATCAGCTAGAGCCATACTCTCAGCAAGTCCCGCCAATGTCACGCCAGCCATTAGCTGAAGGACGAGGTTCATTTTGGATGCATTGCCAACTTCTCCGAGGTAGAAACTGTTTTTGCCCATAGCCTCAAAACATGATTGGCAATCGTCAAAAAGCGTACGATCTCCAGCCGCAAGAATGACCAATGTGCCTTCCTGCGCTTGGGTTTTGCTACCTTGCACTTGTGCTTCAAGGTAACGGCCACCTTTTGCATTTATCGCCTCGGCGATGTCCTGTGATGTTTCCGCGTCTATTCCTGTCATTTCAACGTAACCCTTGTCAGAGGATATTTCCATCAATACGCCACAGTTACCAAATACCATCTGAAAGATTAAAGTTACGGATTTTGTTGATACAACGTCGATCCATTTGTCGGCCTTTTACTACTACTTCAAAGATAAATTCCTTTGACTTCTTTTTTGATTCCTATTTTATACTTACATCTTTTGCAGCTTGTGGATCAGCAACGCAAGAAAATGTTATGTCGGCTGCCAATACGACGTCCGAAGGTGTTAATCCTTGCTCTGCTCCAGCCTTTACAAAATCCGCACACTAAAAATCAAATAAACAACAACCATCATTTAATTATATTTGCGATTGATAAAATATGACGATTTTTATTTGTCAATATTTTTATTATAATTGTTAAATAATCATCATATAATAGATTACTTTACGAATCTTTTCAATAATCGATCGTAATAGATAGATGTTTAAAAATCTTTTTTATAATATTTCCCCCGGGCATTGGACTTCAATAGTCCAGCATTGAACGGTCCGCTTAACAAACATCATGGCGTCATCTGTTGGCGTGTGAAACAGTTGAAAGCAACGGATAGAGTTTGAAAGACCAAGAGATGGCGCCACAACGAGGAACGATTCGTTTCGCTTCGTTCTCGTCGTCGCGTCGACTTCCGGACGGCTACGAAGCGGTGAAAATAGTCACGGGACGTTGGCCACATCGACAAACGGCGCCATTACGAGGGATCGCCGTACGCGTTTCTCTCTTAATCGCGCCTCGTTACGTAGAGAAATTCTCATGTGGCTTTTATAGCACTTTCCAGCGAATTCTCGCAAGAGATCTAGCCAATGATTTCGTGTATATATAAAAAATATATATATATATACGAAATATATATATATATATATATATCTAAATAAATACACGTGTGTATACATATGTATACATATATACATATCACACACGTGCTGTTAGCTTTCTATATAAAAGAAAAAAAAAAAAAAAAAAAAGAAAAAAAAAGAAAAAGAAGAGGAGAAAGAAAGAAAAGAAAAAAAGAGAGAGAGAAAAAAGAGAACAAAAAAAGAAAGGCACAACACGATGCGCAGTTCTCGTGTAGAATTCTCTGGAAGTTTCGTAACGCCTCGGAACGCGTCGTAGGACACAAAAATGGCTACGTTACTACTCGTTGACGTGACACGAAGGAAGCAAGATAAGGTCGTTTCGGATTTCTTGAGATGCTGCCCTCGTGCGACAGTTCCTTAATACGTACTCGTGTTCCTTAGTTTCCTTTGTAAGAATAATAACTATAAAGCGGATTGCTTTACAGTTTTCGTCGGAACATTCATCATGCCATTGCTACATTACTATAACGCTGTCTCTCTTTCTCTCTCTCTCTCTCTCTCAGTCTCTCTTTATCAGTCAGCTTGGTATTTTTTTCAAATGAAATATTCCCATCTAGGACGAGGTCAACCGGTCATTGTTAGGCTGATTCTTAACCCGGAAGGACGTTTCCTTTCCGAGAAATAAAAGTTTCTTTTTTTACGAAATGTACACACATGGCCGATTATCGGTCGACTACTGCGCGTGTGTGTTGTATTTTCTGTCGAATCGAATGATCTCGATTCGTTCGTTCTCCTCGTTCAATTCCCATGCTAGCAGCCCTCTTTCACTCTTTCCCTCTTTCTCCCTTTCCCATCGACCCCTTCTTCTCGTCGCCTCTTCTTGCTCACTCTCTCTCTTTCTCTCTCTCTCTCTCTCTCTCTCCTCTTTCCCGTTCACAATATATTATACGCGATGACGCGTGTTTACGCTCGTCGGAGGTCGAGAGCACATTATATTACCGAGCGTCATTTGCATCGAAAAGATGAATTCTCTCTTTCACGCTTAACGTTTTCATAAATTCCGTAATATAAATAAAAAACGAGATATTTGTCTTCCCCTCCCCTCTAAAGAAAAATACGTGATCGTCATTCATAGTCGTAGAAAATATTTTTGTAAAAAGATATCGTGGAAATGTTAAGTGGGGAATAAAAAAAAGAAAAGAAAAGAAAAGAAAAGAAAAGAAAAGAAAAGAAAAGAAAAAAAAAACAAGGAAAGAAAAAAACTTATTAGTCTCCAGCCGGTCATTCGATCACGATCTAAGAGGCATTACGAACGAATCAGCACACTCGTCGCCATCTTTAATAGCTGATAAAGAAAGACCGCTTTTCTTCTCCTCTCCCTTCTCGTCCTCCACCTTCTTCTTCTTCTCGTGTTAGTAATCCAATCATGATTTTTTTTTTCTCATACATTATATTCCTTCCCGATCTCGTTCTTTTTTTTTTCTTTTTTTTTTTTTTTGTATACGCACACACATTGTTTGTAAACGAGGCAAAGGAATGCGCAAGAAGATACGCAAATATTTCTAATAACATGGACCTTGAAATTCTTCACGTGCGCTCTGATGATCATGAAAACAATAAATTGACGATTCTCTGAGGAAAATTACAATTTTTCTAATTTCTAATTAGATTTAATTCGACTAAGGGCAAAAGAAAGGAAAACGAAAAGAGAAGAAAAATAATAAAGAAAATATTTAAACGTTAATATTCTTTGTCACCGATATACGGGTATCTCTTTCTCTCTCTCTCTCTCTCTCTCTCTCTCTCACACACATACACACACATCGCTTGACAAATAATACATCGACCCGGTGAGAGGAAGTTGTCTGGTTTTCTCTTGACTGTTCGACCGGAAGTCGTAGATGCAGCATGGATATTCCACGTTGAATAAACTTGGAACGATCGTTCGTACGGTAGTTTCCTAAACGTACCGAAGCGAGTTGTTAATACCGTTGTGAAAAGATGGCCGTCATGACGTTACGTCATGTCACAAATTCGAAGAGTAAGAAATTCGAAAAGACATTTTTTTTGTGACTCGACACGTACGTGACTATCTCTAAAGTGGCGCTAAAGTCTTTCTCTCTCTCTCTCTCTCTCTCTCTTTTTCTCATATGTGTAAACGTTATCTCTCTGTCTCTATCTTTTTCCTTTTCTTTTTTCTTTATTTTTTTTTCTTTCCCCCCCTCCCCCTTGACTTACGAGAAAGCAATAACGCGCTCGTCACAGTCGACTTAACGCTGAAAATCGTTATGCTCATCTTCTCGTGTGGCACATGTCGTTACGATCAGACACGTTTCGAAGAAATAAAAAGAGACATGCTAGAAAATTAACGAGTAAGAGGAAAAACAGAAGAGAGAGAGAAAGAGAGAGAGAGAATTCAATAAAATTTTTGTTGTCTTCTCTTTTCCTCCCCCTTCTTTCTCATAATGTACGCGGATACAATGCGAAACCGGCATCCGTCATTTCAACGGCCTCGTTGCCACGTTTACGCGCGATTTCCAGAGCGTTCATATTCGTCCCGGAAGTGACGAAATCCGTCTTATCATCATCGATTCCTTTCGAACTTCGTTGGCGGTCAATTCGAATCGTCGAGCCGATAATACATAATACAATTAAAGATGTTTTTCTCTTTTTTTTTCCTTTTTATTTTTTTTTTCTTAATATTATTTTTATACATAATCCTGAGATACGACAAAAGATATCCGTATGATATAAATAATTTCTTGCTGAGTATCTTCGAAGTTCGTCGATTTTTTTTTTTTTTTTTTTTTTTTTTTTTTTTTTTGTGATATTAAAACGAGTCGAGAAGAGGTGTGCTTTCAGAATTTGAAACACTACGTCGCTTATCTTTCGCTTATCTCTCGCAACAAACGATATAAGAAAAATAAAAAAAAAAAAAAAAAAAAAAAAAAAAAGAGAAGAAAAAAAAATTATCGCTATTGTAGCAGAAGACAGAGTATCCGAGCGATAATAAAACGCTTAACTCGTTGTAATACTTTCTCATAAATAATAAGCAATATACGTGAAAGAATAATTGGATACACACGTCACCGTTTCATCAATATGAATTTAGTACAATAATTCGTTTATTATTTGAATATAAACATTTCCACGTTCATTAATCAATTGAAAAAGTATATGACTAATCAATATGACTAATCAATAATAAAATTCATTTAGGGATAGATATAATATCACGATGATAGATTTTGTAAAAAAATCTCGGCTTTTGAATCTTTTATTTCGTTCCAAAATGTTTTCATTTGTTTTGGAAGAATTCTGAGAATATATGGGCGTCTAACCGAGATATCATTAATATACATGCACGCAAATATATAGTAATAGGGACCAACGAGTATGCGAAAGGACGTTTGGTCGATCGTAATTCGATCGATATTCCAATCAAATTGCCAACTCGAATCACGTTCGTAATCATTGACGCGTCGTTTTATTCGACGACTTGTCGAAGCCAAGGAAGTTCGAAGCGCAACGAACAAATTTTTACACACACACACACACACACACACATACGCGCGAACGTACATACACAAACAGAAAGAGCGGTATCTTTCCAGAAACGATGAACCTTGAAAATGTAACGTATGCATTCACGCATATATATCTACAGCAGTCACGTTTAAGGAAGAACCAGCAAAGTACAAATTCCAACGAACAAACAAAAACACCGTTATTATGATAATACTAACCATTAATATGACCCAATAGAGAATGACTTCTAATCGCAATAACCATTCTATTATAATGGTTAAAGAAAAACTAACAATGAGTAAGAAGTACTTTGAACTTTTGATTTTTTCTAAACTTTCATCTTCTATGGTATTTTCTACAATAGATCATTTCCAAGAATAAATATGTAAGTACGTCGAGATCATTATTATAGTCGTAAATCATATTGAAAACTTCAACCTTGAGGTTTACAAAATAATTATAATAATTTCATATAATTTCTAATGAAATGTAATTCTACATTTTCTATCTTTATGTTTTATATGTATATACAGTATAAAAAAAGAGAAAAACAAAAACAAAAAAGAATTATTTTATACCTATCGTTCGACATTCTTAAAGCTCTCTTTCATTTCCGAGAAATGAACTAATTTAATTTTCTACCCTAAAGACTAATGATTCTCTTTCAATTTTCTTTCGAGAAAAACCAACACACATCGTGAAATATTTTCGCATGCACGCACACGTCGTATTCACGCAATGCGACGAGAGATGCGACCTTGAACCGAGAAAACAGACAGAAAGAGAGAGAGAGAGAGAGAGAGAGAGAGAGAGAGAGAGAGAGAGAGAAAGAGAAAGAGAGAGGGATACATTTGTCGAGGAAGAGAAGGATGAAAAATTTCGAAGGTCTTCGAGAGGGGTTCGCGGTCTGCTTGGCACCGATTGCTCGACGCAACCGCAAA